GCCCGGCCCCCCGGGCCGGGGCACAGCCGCCACCGGGTCTGTCCCGCAGGCTGCCGGGCTGTGGTCCCGCTCTCCCCTGGGGCTGCAGAGCGCCGCTGGCTGCTCTGCCCTGTCCCCAGGGGAGCCATGCGCTCGGCCAGCCCTGCCTGTGCCCCTGCCTGCACCGGGCACCGGCCCACATGCTGCCTGCACGTGCTCCGGCAGGACACGCTCGGCCTCCGTTACACCGCTTGGTGCCAAACCGCACGCAGCCAGGGCAGGCTGGAACTGCGGGGTCACAATCCGACCCGGGGCCGCCATCCACCGCGGGGGCCCGTGCCGGCGGTCGCGTGCCGGGATCCGTCCGAGCTGCTGTAGTTTCTCCTGGGTTCTGTTACATTTGCTGTATTTTCATGGTTTCCTACAATAAACTGCGATGCCAGAATCCTTCAGAGCCGCCCCGTGGCAGAGGGCAGCTGCTCCGCGGGGAGCACCGGCACCGGGGGCTGCGGGGTTCTGGCCGCTCGCCGGGGTGCGGCACCCATGGCCAAGGCCGTGGTGCTGGCCCTGGCGGCGAGGCCACGGGGCAGGGCTGTCCTTCGGGCCGTGGCCAGCAGGGGCCAATCCTGCCCAGGGAAGGGCCTGGGGCAGCTGGGGCAGTGCTGACGTGGCCGGTCCCTGCCCGCGTTCTGCCCGGCCACGTGGCCGCTGCCCTGCCCGCGTTCTGCCCGGCCACCTGGCCGCTGCCGCCGCGTCCCTGGGTGTCCGGGTGCTCCTGGACCGGCTGCCAGCGGGGACCATCTCCCTGCTGGGCCTGGAGAAAAACCCTGATAGCATTAGTGTGGGGGTCCCAGGGGGGGGCCGGGCCAGCTCAGGGGGCTGCTGGGTGCTGGGGCATCCCCTGGGGGGGGCTGGACCCCCCCCACCCGGGTACCCACATCCCGTGGGGCCTTGGGGAGCGGCGTGGCAGGTGGAGGAGCCACGTATGGGGCTGGGCCCCCCCCGCGCTGGCTCCCGTCCCCGGGGAACACCAGTCCCTTCCGCTCAGAGCCGGTGGGGCTGCGGCGGGGGGGGCGGGGGCCCCGCCCACCAGCC